AGGAATGAGTGCCCAGGGATGGGGAATATTTGAAATACTGTAATTCAAATCTGCAGTAGACAGGATAACCAGACAGAAGCATGGTCTGTGTGTAGAGGATCTCTTTTATTAAAAGGGTGAGAACTGTGTGTATGGGAATGTGTACCTAAGAGGTGTTTTTCAGCCGTTTTGTTTCTTGGTATAAGGAATAATACTTGGAAAGTTCCTTCTTCAGCATTGTGAATTTGTTATTCAAGAGTAAAATATGAAGCGTTTATTTTAAGATTTATTGCAGGATCAGGACTGAACAATGTTTTTCATGTTCTATCCAAATGCTGCTTAAAAGTTCTGTTTCCTCCTATTTTCTGTTACCAAGGTAATCCAAGTGCCTGGGTGTTATCTCATTCATAAAGAGACTTTCACTGTTCACACTGCACCACTTCTGCTGTGTTAATATGAGATAATGAAAGCTCAGTGACTTCATTTGTTCCCAGTTTCTTTGTTTGTTCTTACATCACGGGATTATAAATGTTACAGAAATTATGAGCTGCCAGTATCACGTGCCCTTTTAGGAGTGCCAGTAGAAGCAGCCTATCGATATTCTTTTTCTTTTATTCTTGAAACCAGTAACTTTTGATATGCCACAGATGAACGCTTTGAACAAGATGATGGCTTGTTCTAGAGACACTGTGTGACTCATCAGGAAATGTTTTAGTAAAAAATGCATTTTTACTGTTTTTTGAAGTACCTTTTATATGATAGGGATTTTCCAGACCTTCAGGGAGAAATAGCCTCTGCCTTGAGACCTTCCCAAAAGAGATAAGAAGTAATGCAGCAGTAATTTATTTTCTCATAACTTAACCCTTAGTCATCACTTTGTGGGTCAATAAAGAACTTATTTAGTAAAATGCAGTTACACAGTAAAATTCAGCAATACAATAGGAACTCTAAAAGCTTAACAGTGTTGAAAGAATTGAAAATATCTGAAGAAGCTACATTTTGATATTTTGCTTCATGTGCAAACAATTAAAAAAAATGCTTTGTCACTTTTAAAAGGAAAATCAGACTACATGGTTTGTCATTCTCAAGTGCTTATAAAGTCCTCATGTTCTTTCAGTGTCCAACAGTGCACCACTACACCAGAATTATTTGAAAGAGTAATCGTGCTCTTCCTAGACAAGCTGTTGGAGCTGATGTTTGTTGCTTCTTCCCTTTGAAGGCTGCCTTTAGCTGCTTAAATTTGCTAACACTTCAGCAGAAATTTTCTGCATGTGTAATTGGTGATGTTTTTGTTGT